CTCTGTTCAAAGATGGTCGCTCACAGTGGACATAGATGCTTCTTTCACTCCTCTTTCAAACCATCTGTCCAAAATGTGAACATTGGCATCCTCGAAAATTGAGTATCCCTCCTGGTGGGTTACTCCCACAGTCTATGATGAGCTGGATGACTGAGAACCTTCAGAGACATAAAGCACACAATCCCAAGGTCGGCCATATTTGATTTTGGCCTGGCAACCAGTTCTTTACTGAATTAAGGACAGTGTGATTTTCTCCTGTTTGTCACTGTAACTGGAGAAAGAGACAGTGGGCTTAACGTGGAACGCTGCTGGCTGCATGTTTCACTGCAGCTCTCTGCCAACATGTAGCTGACACTCAGAGATGAGTCGATCAGTGGATTTAGGTAGTCAGCACATCACAACACACCGGTGGGCCCAAATAATGTTTCCTGGCTTTTAAAGCCTATTCGTCGTCAGGTTCTGTCCCACACAGTTACTTAAGAACTTAAACTCAAACGTCATGTTGACACAATGACACCTCTAAATATTTAAACTGCAATCGGGAGAGGTGCCATCGTCATCTTCAGCTTGTCCTCTGCAGTAGAAGGCTGCAGTGTGAACATATCAGGCCATTTAAGATTTTCCACTGAGTTTAGAGTCATGTCTCTGAGACATCGAACAGATAGAGGTGCGTCACCGCTGTCTTGCCTGATGATGGACACGAGGCAGCCATTCTGTGGAAACCATTAGCAAATACGTATGTAGCCTGAGAGGCCCATCGAGACCATTTTCACTGGCTTAGCATCAGCTGCAGTTTGGCTACGCACGTGCTCAGTGGAAGGAGTGTAAGTAAGGAGGAGATACTGAAACGTTTTCAGGTCCAAAACTGCAGTAAACTCCTGTTACAGGTTGTTCTTGAGCTGGAGCACTGTGTTAATCGAAGGATGACTACAGGCTGTCCAACTCGTTCACACCCATCAACACTGACACTCCTCCTTCCATCACACACTAACAGGACAGCTGCAGAGCAACAGACATTTCCTTCAGTTACATCTTCTAAACACATCTAAAGATTTATAACACTGATGATAACCACATGCCAAAACCAGCCGGGTGAGGGTTTGAAAGTGAAAATCACAGAGCACGAGTGTTTTGGTTCACTAACCACAGACGCACACAATAATTCAATGTTTCAGATCAAACTGGGCTGTGTGTGGCCAGTGAAGTTTACAGTGCAGGCTAACTCAGCGTGCAACATTCAGAGACTGTTCATGTGAAGAATAAATGACTAAATGTAAAAAGTCAAACACACCTCGACACAGTTGTCGCAGACAGAACAGTGGGAGCAGCGTGGCGGCCTGTAGAAGCGGCAGGTTGAACACCACTTCATCCTGACCTGGATCCCTCGGATCTCCACCGTCTTGTACAGTGGAGCACGGAAGTCGTCTTCTTTGTCCTCGTCCTCCTCGGCTGCACAGAGAACACACACAATCCTGAAACTGACGATCTATTGGTCAAA